CTCGTCCGATGACGTCGCGTCTGGTCTGACGTCTCCTCCGTGTCCGGTTCTGATGGTGACTCTGAAGGTCGCTCCGGTCCAGCCTGCAGGGACTTTGTCGCCGGTCCTGCCTGTGTCCCCGGCCCAGCCTGCAGGACTCCTCTACCGCAGGCGCCGCCCTCCCAGGGCCCGTCGCCTCCTCTTCTGCCCCAGGCGCAGGCCCCCAAGGGTCCGTCCCCATCTCCTCATCTGCCCCTGGCACAGGCCTCCAAGGGCCTGTCCTCGCCTCCTCTTCTGCCCCAGGCGCAGGCCCCCTAGGGTTCGTCCTCGTCTCCTCATCTGCCCCAGGCGCCGGCCTCCAAGGGCCCGTCGCCTCCTCATCTGCCCCAGGCGCCGGCCTCCAAGGGCCCGTCGCCTCCTCATCTGCAGCAGGCGCCGACCTCCAAGGGCCCGTCGCCTCCTCATCTGCAGCAGGCGCAGGCCTCCTGACTCTGCTGATCCCTGCCGCCTCTCCTGTGGTCCCTCAGTTCCTCTGGGCCCTCCCTCCGGGTCCCCCTCCTCCCGCCCTGCTCCTTGTTCCTGTGGGCGTCTGGGATCCGCCCTTTGAGGGGGGGGTACTGTCACGCCCTGTCCTGTCTACTCTTAGGTTTTGTCTGTTCTCCGTTAATTGCTCCCACCTGCCTCTTGTTTCCCAATCACCATAGCTCCCGCTCCTCTTGTATTTAAACCCCTTCTGTTCTGTGTTCCCTGTCGTGTCATTGTTTCAGTGTTCCAGCGTGTGACTCTAATAAATCAATGTTAGAAGTTCTCACCTGCCTGCCTGTTTTCCTCCCCGCGTGTGGATCCTTGCCTCACCTCAGCTCACCTCGCCACACGCTCGTGACAGTGGTTTCAGTGGTTGAAGGTTAAAATTCTAGACTACTGCCTATGTGTATATACATGTACCTTTGTTATTATTTTTCTTCAAATTATTCTCTTAAGTGCTGGTGCTGCTGTAACAAATGAATTCCCCCACTGTGGGATTAATAAAGTCTATTCTGTTCTATTCTCAAACTAAATAAAAAAATAAGTGTTGTTGTCAAAATGAACATTGACTTGTGCTTTGTGTGCAGGCCTACACATAAAATGTGTTGATCTGTTTCTAAAATTGACCCTTCTGAAAACACAGCGGTCGAGGTGAAGATAGATACTGGGAAAATGAGGAACGAAGATTATTCTCTGCAAGATCAGATACATGGGTGTCGATGAGAGAGGTAAAAGTGCAACGGAGAGAAGTGGAGATAGCAGAGGACCTTTCGTTCTTAGGGTCTGCAGTCCAAAGAGAGTCGGAAAAAGAGATAAAGAAGTGTGTGCGAGCAGGTCGTAACGGCTCAGAACACACGTGTAACAGTTCAGGATGCTCTGGACATTTCCAGATTTTGAATGAATCTCAGAGAGATCCATGGTTTGCCCATTCAGTTATCAGGATACTGCACATGGTTTTACACAGTCTCTAGCTTTAGGCAGCGGCAAAGAGCCATCCGAGTTAATTGGTCAATCAGCATGCAGCTCATTTAACATTCATGTTCTGGCCAAGTAGGTGAGGTAAACCAGCCTTTCCATTCTAGAGCTTTATTATGGAGCTGTAGTTGGCCATTTATCAGGGTTCCTGTGCCCTTATGAGGCCTAATCGTGCTTTATATGTTGTAAAGAGGCTCAAATAACAGTTTGGAAAATAAAATAGTTGTTCTAGGACCATTTAAAGGAACTCCAGAGAGAGGCTCATGAGAGGACATTTAAAAAAAATAAAAGAATAAAATGAAGTAAAATGTATTACAAAGTTAATGCTACGATGACAATTAGAAAAACCAATTAGCTTCAAACATTTTTTTCATGCCTGTTAACATAATAAGGTGGTTCTCTCACGTTTGTCTAAAAGCCTCTGCTAATTACTCGTTTCTGACCCAAGGCAACTATTGGACCACCCGGTAGTCAGTCTCACCAAACTACTGCTGAACCACTTTCGCAATCCCTTACTTCCTCCATTTATTACACACTCATGTGTTTACCCTTTAATAAAAAACAGCCTCAAAAAGTTGTTTCCGTTTATTTTTACTGTTTCACTCAAGTCTCCCTGTTAAGTTTTGATTGTTAAACTCAATGTTAAATTTGCTTGTTTTTTCAACAAATTGGCATATTACCTCATTCTCTTGCGTTCAGTCAACTGAAAACTGCAATTTATAGATTAAAGGATCCTGATACTTGGCAGGTATGGAAAGAGCGGGGTTATCCGTGATACCAAATAAGTAAAATAATTACTAAAAACAATAACACATTTAATGCACATTAAGGTACAAATCACACACACACACACATAGTGAAAGTAAGAAATGAGGAAAATGGACAGGGACAGTAATGGAACACTACTATTTTAAGAACAGAAAGTTTGTCTTCCACAAAGACCGTTTTCAGGACTTTCTTTTGAGGGATGTGAGGACACTTGACAATCTGGGGGTGTTGTGGATGTTCTTAATTTTGTTGTTTCTGGGATGTTTATGCATGCTTACTGAGGGGGGCTGTGTTCTTAGTTATTGCTTTGTTCATTGTGGAAAAGGCGGAGTTGTTTGTTTTTGTCATGTTGGCTTCTTAAGTGAGGAGGGTGATCAGAGGAATGGGGCTGCTGGTCTGAAATAAGGAGGCGGTTCACGCTACATGCTCCAGTCTCAGCTCTCTCTGGCTATCTGCTGTCACACGGTGTATGAGGCACAAGTTAGCCGCCATCTTTCAGTGTCGCTGTTAGCTTCTTGCTCCACTCTTTGCCCGTCTTGGCACGACAGCCACCTAACTGGCAACATGAGTACAAACAATTAATCCATTAGTTCAGTTAATATAAACAGTTCGAATGGACGTACATAATTGTCTTCTAAGGTGAATTTGTAAGTTAAAATAATATAGAATGGTGTGTATCTTTAACAAGAGAAAATATATTTTTTTACTTGCTTACATAGTTTTTGTTTCAACTCACACTGTTTAAAAACATACATTATTATTAACATTATTTGTTCATCTTGGCATTTAGAGATGAAAAAAGTGGGCTATTAAGTTGATACAAAGTGTGTTTTTAAGGCAGCTCGTGAATGTTAATTTCTAAGTTTAAAACTACTTTCCGGAGTTTTCCCCTTTCAGAAATTATGTATGATTTGTCAGAAATCCATAAAAGCGATTGTCTCATCATGTACTGTGATATAATGTAAGCGTTACGCCTTTTTTTTTTTTTTTTTGCTAAGCAAGCCCTCTGCCCCGCAGAGCTCTGTGCAATAGGAAAATCAGCGTCGACCAGAACTAACCAATAGCGAGCGTTAGACTACCGCTTACTTGCTTCAAATTTAAGGAATACCTCGGCTGAAGCAGTTGATGAACTTTCCACGGACAAGAAAGTCTCTAAAATATAAATATATGAGAACACAACACGACATGAGAATATTACTCGTAAAACAACGTGTTTTAGTTGTTTGTCGGCTACAGAAGCACATTTATAAACAGAAACTTGAAGTCGCCATCTTGGAAAACAGAGCAACAGAGTTTTTGTGTGATATGCTTGTCAGCCACTAGATGGTGCCATCGGATAAGAGAAATACTCCGGAAAGAAGCTTTAAGTGGCTTATGACTTATTACAGTGTATCACCAGAACACCACTAGTCTGAGAGGTTTTCCGCTGAGTAATATAAGAGGAGAAACAGCCAACTGCTACCACTTCAACTTCAAGACAAACTACCAGAGTCCCACAAAGAAAAACACCATTTGAAGTCACAGACAACAAAAGACATTTGGACCCGGAAAACAGTGACTGGTGTTTAGCACTGTCTTGTTTCCTCTTGAAATGCAGGTGTCCAGTTTGGTAAAAGCGTCTCAGGGAAGACGCCCGAGGGCAGGAACGAGTGTCCTGTGACCGTGTTTGCATTCAAAACCTAGCTTGTTCTGTAAATTTGCTAAAGCAGTTTTAATTAGTAACAACTGATCACAGCCCAGCATTTAAACGGGTATGAACAGCTGAAGTATACAGGACGGGTGCAGTGCACTTACAGAGGTGCTAGAGGTGAGTAGAGGGCAGGTGCAAGGTACTCACAGAGTAAGCACAGGATGAGCACAAAGTAGTTCTAGGACCCTTTGGGTCAAGGCAAGGCAGATTTATTCATAAGGAACGTTTCATACACAAAATCATTTTGTACCAAGCAATGTTCTAACCCTAACTCAGAGCTCAGAATAGAGTCCCTGATCCTGAGTATTTGATAGAGTCAGTAGGGCTGCTGGCCGCAGGTGTTTCTGACATGTATCAGGAAGAGACGCTGGTGCAGAGCCAAGGCTCACTGGTGAGATAAGACATCACAAGTGGCTAGTGAACAGCTATGAGTCCCCCATATGTGCTGGAGGAGATGGACAGCTAGGCAGGCATCCTCATGCTGTATGACTGTGGGTTTGCAATGAACAATGATGTAATCAGGTTTTCCTGTGTTGAGAAAATGTCTGTTAGGAAGAGCAGAAACATAACATCTAACATGAAAATCACACCATTCACTACCAGATGTGGGGTGTTCTATGGGTGTGGTTGCATACAGGAATTAATGATATCTATTTATGTTTTAATAAATTAACAGCAGCCGTTCTGAAGAGACGATGTAACTCTTCTCTTGGGTTTAGCATGTAGTCTGGATTAATCTGATAGATTATTAAAGAACTAACGTTTCCGGATTCTACCTTGCACGTTTCAAAGTCATCTGAACTGGACGTCGCCACTTCTTTCCAGCGTTTAAAAGACGGCTTGTCCTCATACGAAGGAGACGACCTCCTGGATCCGTGGGACAGGAAGTCGAACACATTTGCATAGTTCCCAGTCAACCAATCAGATGTCCTCTGACCCCGTGACCCACAGCAAGGATTTGGACGCTCGTCCTCTCAAACCTGCAAACAGGACCATCACCACCATTTCACGGTCGGAGGTCCCGGTTTCCAGCTGCTCCAGAACTCCGGCCGTATCCGAGTACATGAAGGAGGTGCTGGTGTGGGAGGGCTCCGACTCCAAGCTCTGCTTCGAGGAGGTCAGAGTAGAACGGCACTTCTGTAAGCTCCGGGAGAGGCAGGACAGGGAGAAGAGAGAGATCAGAACGGCTTCCCTCAGAGTTGACAGCATTCTCGGAGAAGGCGCCTTTGCAACGGTCTACCGGGCCACCGACCCAGTGACCTCCGAAAAGATGATCCTGAAGGTCCAGAAACCAGCCAATCCCTGGGAGTTCTACATCAACACCTGTCTGGATGCCCGGCTGAAGCCCGCCCACCGTCACCTGTTCAGCAGCATCCACTCGGCTCACCTGTTCCGCAACGGGAATGTGCTCCTGGGAGAGCTTCACAACCTCGGAACGCTGCTGAACATGGTGAACATCTACAGAACCCTGAGTGAGCGGGTGGTCGCGCAGCCCCTCGTCCTCTACTTCGCCGTCTGCATCCTGCACACGGTGGAGCAGCTGCACGCCGTGCACGTGGTCCACGCCGACATCAAACCTGACAACTTCATGCTCAGTCAGAGGTTCCTGGAGAACAAGTGTTTTGACCCTGAGAGCACGGAACACGGTCTGATCCTCAACGACCTGGGACAGTGCATCGACCTGCAGATGTTCCCGAACGGAACCGCCTTCACCACCACCTGTCTCACATCTGGGTTCCAGTGTACCGAGATGCTGAGTGGGAAACCATGGAGCTATCAGACGGATTACTTTGGGATCGCCGGAACATGTTCTGTCTGCTGTTCGGGACCAAGCCCCCACAATGCGGTTCAGAATTGGTCTCAACCCAGAAGTACCAAAAACTGCAGTTCCACCCTCAGCCACTGGGGACTGGTGTCAGAAGCGAGCAAATCCTCATTGACTCCCATGTTAAAAATACCAATTTCACAGCAGAAATAAACATGTTGACAGCCTGGTACCAAAACATGTTTTTGGTTTAAATGATCTAGTTTACACTCATGACAACTCTGAGGGGGGTGAATTTTTTTCTCACTCTTCTGTTTAAGTGTATTAAAAGCCTAAAATTCTGTATAATTAATGAGCATCAGACCCACGTGACCACAGAGCTAGCTCCGTGGAAAGGCCTCAGTCGAGCCTCGGTCTGGCCTGGAAACTGTTCTGGGATTTTGAGTCTCTGTGTTTGTGTGTTCTTTTTTGGATATTATTTGTGCAATTGTTGGACAAAATGACTTGCTGTGGCATTAATTGCACTAATAGAGCGTCCAAGGAGTCTCCACTTCATTTTTTCGGTAAGTAAAATTATATTTATGTATTTTAGGTCACTGCCGAGCTGAGCTTGGATTTTAACATGTACTGTTTAACCATGAAATTTAAATGTAATAGGGTAAACCCAGTGCATTTAACATAATGCTGCACTTTAGAAAATGGGTTGAAATATAACATGTTGGTGGAGCTGGGTTCCCACTATCGGCTTGTGGAGCTCTCGGGATACCGATGTTTTCCACCCGGTTCTCCCCTCCCCACAGCTCGGTGCATCTCTGTCTGATCGCAGCTTCTGTCTGCTGCGCGGGCTGACGGCTTGTGGAGCTCTGGGATGGAAACCTTTCCACCCGGTTCTCCCCAGCGGCAGCTCTGCGCATCTCAGATCGCAGCGGCGCTTGTCTGCTGTGCGGCTGCCGGCTTGTGGAGGTCTAGGAGACCTCTGTGTTCCACCCGGTTTTACCCAGCGGTCAGCCCGGCGTATCTCTGACTCAGAAGCTCTGGTGTTGTGCACAGTTAACTCCGGTTGTAGCTAGGTTGCTACCTCCATTAGCTTAGCTCCCACCTCCGCATTAGCTTTGGGTTAGCTTCAGGTTAGCTTGTAGCTAGTTCGACCGGGTGTCGTCAGTTGATCCCAGCCTTACAGCCCCACCCTCAGCTCCACCTCTCTTCCCTTTTATGGAATTATCTGGGCTTGACGGAACCTGTGACACGGTCAAAATGGTGGTGGTGGCCACCTCCCATTTTAGTACAAAAACGTATTATTGGAGTCAATGGAAACCCATTTCCCATATATGTATGTCGATGTTCGGACCTACATGCAGGTGTCCAACCAGGACGGAGTGTGGAGGACAAACGCAATGTTCAGAAGGAACCCCCACAGCGAGCTGTGGCTGGAGTTCTTCCACACCCTGCTGAACATTCCAGACTGCCGGTCCCTCCCGAGCCTGCGGATGCTCCGCGGGAACTTGACCGACGTCCTGCAGAAGAACTACAACAACAAGCTTCTGCCTCTGAAGAGACGCCTGGTGGTCCTCCTGCTGGAGTCCCACAAGGCGTCTCGAAGGTGATTCCTGAACTGGGGCCTCCTGAGGAACTCTCTGAACTTTTCTTTTATCGGCTTTTAAAGTTAATGTCTGTTATGGCTCAGGGCCATTTGGGTTTTTCCCTGTGTGTGTGTGAGAGAGGAGATGCAGCACCTGGCTCCAATCTCACTAGATAGACTCTCCCAGCTGATCCTGATAGACTCTCCCAGCTGATCCTGATGACCAGCAGCAGGCCAGTTATCTCTGGTCTGTTGTCTCCTCAGCAGCTTTTGGTTTAGTTAAGTTTTATGTAACAACTTTGGTGGGAGCTTAAAACTCTCTGTGTTTAACCGTTCGCCTTTTTAGGGGTAAAGGACACTTTACCCCTTCGCTTGCTTTTATTAAGACATCACTCGGTAAAAAGGGAAATTGTGATGGTCTTTCGTAGTTTTGTATTAATTTGGTTAATATGAGAGTTTAGTTGTTACTCGTTTTGTGTTGCTGCTGATGTGTCTTGTTAATCTGTTTTTTGTGTTTATATGTATGTAAATAAATGTTGTTTTGTTACTTTTAACACAAGAACATGCGTCCTCAATTGTTACCCCAGGCCCCCTAGACAGCCTGGAGCGTAACATATCTGAGAACATCAGAACCATACATCTTTAAACCCAGATGCACAAAATAAGACTGCAGGATCCGTCTGAGCTCCTCAGGAACAAACATGGCCCTGGTGTTCCTCTGGACCAGGATCGGTCCTTCAGCATCACCCGGACCTTCTCCCATCGAGTTGCTAAAATCAGATGGAACCCGACCCAAAGTTCTTCTTAGTGTGTGTGTGTTTTTCAGGTGTAGCCATGATGGAACTACAAAAGCTGCATGGTTCTAATTTTATATAATTAATGAAGGAAGGATTTGTCCAGACTGAATTTTGATTATTGTAGTATAATGTATTTCTTTTAGGGAAGTATTTGTCCTGATTGAATTTTAATTGTTAAGTGTTTTTCTTTCAACTTGCACCCGGGAGTGGCTTCCAAATTTCGGTGTACGAGTGTGTACAGTGACAATAAAAGGATATTCTATTCCATTATATTCTAAATCAAGCCATGGTCTTTAGATTGTTGTTAAAACACTGATTTATCTAATGAGGTGATTGGTGCAGCAGATCCAAGCTGTTTAAATTGGGACTTGATAATATTAACACCATAGTTACCACCACATCATCAAGTCACTAATTTGTTGGCCATCAAATAACTACTGTAGGATTTTACAGTATAATATTTATCTCCAGTGCATTTCTGGACAAGATCTTGAAGTATCTTAAAAATCTTCAAGTGTCATCTTAAATGTTTCAGACATCTCAGCAGTTCTCAGTGGGTTAAGGTCTGGAGTCTATGGGGACCAATTCATGTGTAAAAATTATGGGTTGTTCCTCCTAAAACCACTCTTTGTTAATGGGTACATCCCTTCATCCTTCGCTCTCCGTCTCCTGATGTGCCTATCACTGTGGAACAGGATAAATATGGACGTATCAGACCACATGACCGGTTTCCATGACTCCAGTAAAATCTTCTCCAGTAAACTGAGCTTTTAGTTTCTATTTGCCTCGGTAAGAGGTTACTTTCTGGAGGCAACAGTGCTTCAAAGTCAGACTTATTTTCCTTCTTTCAAGTTTTCTACTCAAAACAAGTCAGTTGTCCAAATTATCATTGCAGTCCATGCAAATACTGATTTATTAACCTAACCACCTCTGTCACGTGTGTGTGAATCTTTACAGTAAGTATACAAAGCAAATGTATAAAACTACATCCTAGAGCAGGGCTATTCAATTCCCGGCCTCGAGGGCCCGTGTACAGCATGTTTTAGTTTTAACCCTGCTTCAACACACCCAATTTCAATCAGCAGGTGATAAACAGGCTTCTGCAGAGCCTGATGAGCTGCTGCACAGGTGACTCAACCACTCAATCTAGTGTGTTGGACCAGAGAAATCACTAAAATACGCTGGATGTTGGCTCTTGAGGCCCAAACTTGAATAGCCCTGGCCTAAAGGCTCTTTTATGCAATGTCAAGAATGCAGAACTGTCAAGTCCACATGTGGCAGGAACAGCCAATGACACGTTAGCAAGTATCATCAGAGCCAATAGATGAGCTTATGGACGATTCTAATGGGAAACCGGCTTCAACACAAGCGGCTGTTTTCTTCTTGGTGCTAGTGCTCAACCAGTGTCTATTTACACTAAACAAAAATAAAACCGCAACACTCCCATTTTTCATGAGCTGAACTCAAACATCTGAAACTTTTTCTACATGCACAAAATGTCCATGAGTCTCAAAGATTGTTTTGAAATCTGTCTACAGCCGGCCTCACAACCGCAGACCACGTGTGACCATACCAGCCCAGGACCTTCACATCCAGCATGTTCACCTCCAGGATCACCTGAGACCAGCCACCCGGACAGCTGCAGCAACAATCGGTTTGCATAACCAGAGACTTTCTGCAGAAACTGTCCGAAACTGACTCAGGGAAGCTCATCTGCAACCTCGTCGTCCTCATCAGCGTCTGGACCTCACTGCAGTCCATCATCGTAACTGACTTGAGTGGGCAAACACTCACATTCGATGGCATTTGGTATATTGGAGAGGCATTCTGTTCACAGATGAGTCTCGGTTTTCACTGTTTAGGGCAGATGGGAGACTGCATGCATGGTGTCGTGTGGGTGAGCGATTTGCTGATGTCATCGTTGTGGTAAGAGTGGCCCATGGTGCTGGTGGGGTACTGGTATGGGCAGGTGTATGTTATGGGCAATGAACACGGGTGCATTTTATTGATGGCATTTTGAATGCACAGAGGTATTGTGACGAGATCCTGAGGCCCACTGTTGCCATTCGTCCATGACCATCACCTCATGTTGCAGCGTGATAACGCACGGCCCCATACTGCAAGGATCTGTGCACAATTCCTGGAAGCTGAAAACATTTCAGTATGAGCCAGCATGCTTATCAGACATGTCACCCATTCAGCATGTTTGGGATGCTCTGGATCAGCATATTCAACAACGTGTTCCAGTTCATGTCACCCATTGAGCATGTTTGGGATGCTCTGGATCAGCATATTCAACAACGTGTTCCAGTTCCTGTCATATTCAGCAACTTCGCACAGCTATTGAAGAGGAGTGGACCAACACTCCACAGGCCACATCCTGATCAATATATGCTATGAGATGTGTTGCCCTGCATGAGCCAAATGGTGGCCACACCAGGTACTGAATTGTTTTCTTCCCCTCCACCCACCATAAAGCAAAACTGTGCATATTTCATGGTGCACGGTTGTTAGCACTGTTGCCTCGCATCAACAAGGCTCGAACCTTGGCTGTGGCCTTTCTGCGTGGAGTTGCATATTCTCCCCATGCATGAGTGAGTTTCCTCCGGGTACTCCGGTTTCCCCACAGATCACAACATGCCCTATAGGTTAAAAATTGTATGTTGCTTTGGATAAAAGCGTCTGCCAAATAAACATGTCAGGGTGTCCTTTTATTGTGGGCACACCTGTACATTATTCATGCATTCTAATCAGCCCCTTGACATGCCACACCTGTGAGGTGGGATGGATTATCTTGGTAAAGGAAAAGTGCTCACTAACACACACATAGACAGATTTCAGAACAATATTTGAGAGTCATGAGTCTTTTGTGTATGTAGACAAATCTTCAGATTCAGATGTTCAGCTCATGAAAAAAGAGCAGGGGACAATCTGACTTTGGAAAAAGTGCCCCCCTCCCATAAAAAATAAATAAATAAAATACAACCATGGCCTGTGCTAATTTCTGGGGAAAATGGTGAAATTGTGAATCAATATAGATACTTCATCAGGGGACCGTTCTTGATGACAGGCTGACCTTTGACACCAAGATCACATGTTTGCTGATATATGAACCCCAGTAACAACAGTTACCCAGCCCCAAGCTAGGTATGCTAATGCTATGTTATGCAAAAGCTTTGTCTATGCTGAATATTTACACCTTTATGTGCAGTAGTTTCTGATATTGCATGTTTCTGCAGCAGACTGTTCAAACATGGTCTTGTGTTCTTGTCAAAAACAATGAAGTGGCCTTACCATGATTAAATAACATTACAATATCCCCCAATTTCTCCCAATATAACATGTCATTGAAATGTTTGGTAAACTTTACATGTTCATCACAACCTTTTAGTTTTTACTAAATTGACCAATAAATTCATTATTTCTGGATAAAACAGCAGACGTGACAACATGACCGTGTCGCTTCAGCTTTGGGATATAAAATATGGCTAGTTATTTGAAATACACATTTAAATAAATGTAATTTTCCTTAAGACTTTTCATCACTTGTTTTATTAAATTAAGAGCTGTTTATCTTTGTAAGGCAAGGTTATGAATTATGACCCATTATTAGAACACTGTTTGAAAAGTTCTTTAACCTTTTAACCCTGATACTATGAATAATCTAGGATGTTGATTGTTTAAACTCATTGCATTTTGACCCTGCTGTGCAGTGATATAGCAGTTTTGCTTTATAATAAAAAGGGAGGTTTGTGTGTAAGGACTGGATGAGTTAAATAAAGGTAGAGCATATTCAGTCTGGACAAAAACTCCATGTCAAGTTTGGTTTTGTTGCTTTTTAATGGTCTTTTCTTCTAAATTGGAATTTGATCCTGTGGAGTTTAACAATATTTGTGAATCACATTGAAGAAATGAGTTTCCTGTATTTAGTGCATTTGTTATTTGCATTTTTTTAAATTAATTCCATTTCTAACTAATGTACAAAACTCGGCTTTATTTTCCTGTTGAATTCAAATATATGGAAAGCTGAGCTTTATACCATTAACAGTGGAGGAGACAAAGCAGATGGAAATGTCTCACCCAAAGCTGGCTCACCAAAACACTGCAGGATGTGTGAACAGCTCTGCTCTGGTCCAACTAAACTGGTTACTGTGGAAGCTACAACAGTGGTGGTGGTTGTGTCAAATCATGTTGATGCTTGTCTCATTAGTAGATGGAACCAAAATTCAGAATCTGCTTTTATTCTAATGGAATTCGCTATTATTTTAAAAGTCTTCTTATGTTGAAAATGAGCTTGATGAATAAAAACAACATATCTGTAATAATACATGAAAACAGGTTTATCAATTGAAATGTGGGTATATTAAGTCATGTCCAAATACGTAATGTTACAATTGAATCTAAATTTATAAGTGGTGTTTTTATTCTAAATATTTAGCTAACATGCAAATATAGAGTGCTGTAAAACTAAAGGGGACACACACACACACACACACACACACACACACACACACACACACACACACACACACACACACACACACACACACACACACACACATTGTGGTGGAAAGGAATTAATTTGAATGTGTGTAATTAAATGTAATAGTAGGTGGTGAATGGCCTGTATTTGTATAGCACTTTCTAGGGTTCTACAGCCCTCCAAGGTGCTTCACAACACAATCAGTCATTCATCCATCCACACACACATTCACACCTGCTGATGAGCTATAATGTAGCCACAGCTGCCCTGAGGCTGCCGAACACGGGCGCCACTGGTCCCTCCGACCACCACCAGCAGGTCAGGTGGGTGAAGTGTCTTGCCCAATGACACAACAGCAGCCAGGAGCTGGAATTAAACCTACAACCTTCCAACCTCCCACTCTACCCCCTGAGCTACTGCTGTCCCTTTGTTTATGTAACTTTGCGTCTTTTATACTGATTCCAAATGCCCAGGTGCAGTGATAAATTCAGTTTTAGTTCCACAAACCAAAATGTGCTCTATGATGTTCAGGTTTGATTTAAAAACATAAAAACTAGTTTGTATATTTACATTTCAATTATTTATCTTTTACATAACTATAAGGATTTTGTAAAAAAAAGAAAAAAAAGAAAAAAGAAAGTTTGGCATTTTCATTGACTAAATCAATTAAATGAAAAATGACAAATCAAATAAAATTTACCTCATTTTTCAATATTGCGAGGAGCTATTTGGGCTTCCAAGAGCCAGTCCTTTTGAAGTAGAAATCCTTCTGAGTCAAACAGCAGTAATATAACTGTTGCTATAGACAAAAGCCTCCGTTACAATAACAGACGTCCTTTTACGTGGTCGGAATCCATCATAAGACGATGGGCTGAATGATAAAAACGGATATCTATGCCTCTCCTTTTACTCCACTGATGATGCGGTAAACATTCACATTGACTGAAGCTGCCGTATTGGGTATCCTCCTGCTTCAACAGATCGATTCTGTTCAGAGACCAGAAAACGGCAAAAGCACACAGAAAACATTTCCAGTGAGATCGCATATCATCCCAGAAACAACGAACCAGCTGGAGATGAACAATTCCACTACGGTACCTCTGAAATATTACCCATGAGCACACAGGCTCTTGGTGAGAGCACCACTTGTTTTCTTGGCCTCTACCTTTGAGCCAATTTTTGTTCAGTTGCTAAACACTTTTCCCAGGGTCATGGGATAGATATTTACAAGCACATGTGCAGCTGAGCCCGAGTACAATTCATACACACAACTTTCCAAGCAGTTAAAAACACACACGCACACACACACACACACACACACACACACACACACACACACACACACACACACACACACACACACACACATCTCGGTGTGACTAACACTTTAGTTTAATCACTGACACGTTTCCTGTATCCTGCTCATTAGCCCCCCAGCTTTTCACCGACCTAGAAACGTTCCTTTCTCTTGTCCTTTTTGCTCAAATCATTTTGTCTCCCTACATCCCTTTAACATGACTTTTTAATGACACAAGAAGAGCCTCATCCCAACACAGTTCAACCCTTTTCCCCACCCCTGTCTTGCATTATCACTCCCTTCCATCAGTTTGCCTCCAGAGGTTGGGAATCCTGCCAGCAGTAGCCAGAGTCACCTTTTGATGCACTTAAGGGAAAGTGTGCATATCACACTTAACACAAGAGCCCAAAGAGCAAATATAATGGGTTGTCTTCAATTCAGCTGCTGTGCCATCATGCCCTCAAATGAGAGGCCTGGCGTGTTTTCCATCAGCTGTACCCATGCTGCCACACCAGGAACATAATAATCTGAGAACAGCAAAAAGAACAGCCTTCTAAGCTGTCTGCCACTTATCATGAAAACACGGTCCTGGGGTTTAGCCAGAAGGTAGCAAGTATTAACATTTCCTGAAGATGAAATCCCACTTCACTCTATTCTCTCTTCCACTTAGCCCAAGGGCTGCTCAAGGGTGGAAGAACAGTTGCATCACAATTATTTTGGTCAGTAATGAGGTCCTGATGATTTGACACAAATACAAACACAACCCATGGTTAACATTTTTGATGACAAAAATTTTTACTTTTTGATTTATTTGAATAAATGTAAGTGACTTAGATAAAAAAATTGGCTTCGATTTGATTTTGGAGTCAGTAAAATGGAAGAAAAGGAACGGTGCTGCTCTGGGTGGCTGCATGTTGGAGTAGCTCTGCTGACTGTATGTAAGTTTTGCCTTTTCTTGGGCATTTTTTCTTCTAGTTTCTCACGAAAAACTGTACTTTTTGGGGCATTTTACTTTTCTGTTTCTGGTGCTGTGAAGCTTGGAGGATTTTTACTGCTATTTTTTTAGCTTTTTCACTTTTTGAGCATTTGTTATGATGTGTAACCATGGTAACAAGCTGGTTTACAATCAGGAGCAGCTGATTAACATTGGAAAGGCTGAAATAATACCTCAACTGAAGCCACAAATCCCAAATGAGCTAAAACGCAAGAAGCGTGGGTGCAGAGCGGGAGCAAAACGGAGACAGAGAAAGAGGAAATTCAAACCATTTCTTCCATCGATCATAATGTGAGATCACTGGCCAACAAGATGGAGGAACTCCAAGCCCTTTCAAGGACTCAGCCAGAGTTTTGGCAGTTTCGGAACCGCTGGAGGAGATCATGCAAAGAAGGATTCTCCAGAGAATCAAGAAAATGATGGACAACCCTGAGCATTGTCTTCACAAGACTGTCCGACAACAGAAGAGTGTCTTCAGTCAGAGGCTTCTTCAGTTTGGCTGCAGCACTGACCGCTAATGGAGATCCTTCCTGCCAACAGCCATTGTAATATACAACAACTCTTTGATGACTTGATTATTATTATTATTCTGAGCTACTACAGCAATCAATTTCCCTCTGGGATTATTAAAGTATTTTTGAATTGAATTGAATATTTTAGTTCTGAGCACTCTTCTCCTTTGTTTAAAACAACTGTGTGAATTACTCAGAGTCCAGAGTGGGACTGAGAACAGTTCTGTCACAGATTTGAGTTCATCATGCTGGAAGGAGCTGAAATTGCCTCAAGCCCCTTGTCTGTATTTGACCTGGAGACGTACCGTTTTCCTATTACACACTGACTATTTTATTTCTTCCTCCTAATGGATACATAGTTAGCTCTCCATTTATTTCTTAAAAAGGTCTTCCATTTTCTTGTGGAATATTGTACAACCATGGTCTTGAGCCGGAAAAGGGTAGAATGCCTTCTCCGGGTCAGGGATGAGGTCCTGCCCCAAGTGGAGGAGTTTAAGTATCTCGGGGTCTTGTTCACGAGTGAGGGAAGTGGGAGCGTGAGATCAATAGGCGGACTGGTGCTGCATCTGCAGTGATGTGGGCGTTGTACCGGTCTGTCGTGGTGAAAAGATTTATCTGTCGATGTACATTCCTACCCTCACCTATGGTCACAAGCTTTGGGTAGCCAAAATCAGTTTTCTCTGCAGGGTGGCTGGGCTCTAATTCGGGAGGGGCTCGGAGTAGATCCACTGCTCCTCCTCGTCGAGAGGAGCCAGTTGAGGTGACTCGGGTATCTGATTAGGATGCCTCCTGGATGCCTCCCTGGTGAGGTTTTACAGGCACATCCCACCGGGAGAAGACCTAAAGGAGGAGTATTTTGCACAAGAGGACACATTTTCTGCAAACATGTGAAAGATGCGCTGCCGTGCGGCTTGCTGAACATAGAGGATAGTCAGCACAGGCAGGAGATGAGTTATTGGACACCGGGCACATTGCTGCAATGACTGACGGGACACAGCATCTGACCAGTCAACGGTTACATGCACTGACAGGCATTTTGAACCATGACATGGCTCTGAAGGTGGTGCAGACGGAGGAGGGAAAGGAATTTAAAAAATCCCAGATGCACTAGAGGGGCAGAAAGTCTTAACTACCCAGCCACAACACATGGGAACTGAGGCAGGGCATACAAGAGATAACAAACCACAGAAGCTGTAATGTGACAACAGAAATGATAAATGTCCTGGTTTTGTATAGCACCTTCTAGGGTTCTACAATCCCCCAAGGCGCAGTACATGACAATGCAGGAATTTTGCGACATTCGTTCCATCAAGCTTTGCAGTAATAGTGCCACAACACCGGACTTGTGAATGCATAATCCGCCTTGCTGCAACAGAGGGAGGGGTCAGGATCACGTGGGGAGCTACTGCTGAGCTCTGGCCTGCAACCATACACGATGAAAGTAAACACAGTAAGTTTCGCTTTTGTTAACAGAACCAGCTGGGATGATAAACTGGATCGGCGCAGAGCTCTGGGAGCGTTTCTTCGGTGGAGATGGAGATCAGATCACCAGACAGTTCAGGGGATTGTGGAGGACAAACATCTTTAGGGGTGGCTTGGTGATGAGGAGGTAGTGATTAGCCACTGGATAAAAACAATACACAGCCCACAAACCCACTCAGATGAGTAATCTTGCAAGATAAAACATGACTTTGGAGAAAACAAATTTGGTGGATGAAGAGTAGGGTTGAGCATTGAGCATCAATTGGAACCGGGACCAGTTGTTTGTTTTTCCTGGAATCATTCAAAGTTTTTTCATTTCGATTCCTAGTTTTGATTCCTAGTATGCCGACAGAAGAGGAATCCGCGGCCGATCTCCGTGAAAAATAAACGTGATCTGCAAATTGTGATCAACGCTTTTCAGAGCTGATCACACCAGCTGTCTGTGTGGAGCACCGTCCCCCCTCCCACCACCTGGCACACAGCTTCTGCTGAACTTTTACTCCGTAATGTAAACTTTACCTCCTGCAGTGTAGAGGAAACGTGTTAAATACGTCAACAAGGTGGATTTAATAGAAGCTTTAAAGAACAAACTCTGGACGGTGCGAGGTGAGTTTGTCTCACTGCAGAAATAACAACACACACCGAGCGTCAGCAGTCAGACACAGCCGCTCACCAACACTCGTGTGTGTGTGTGTGTGTGTGTGTGTGTGTGTGTGTGTGTGTGTGTGTGTGTGTGTGTGTGTGTGTGTGTGTGTGTGTGTGTGTGTGTGTGTGTGTGTGTGTGTGTGTGTGTGTGTGCGTCAGAAGGCTGAACAATAGCTTGTAGATTAATTAAAGTCATCATGCCAGAGCAGCTTCTCTGTGGTGGACCACACCAGCTTCTGCCACAATAAATAATAATAATAATAATAATAATAATAATAATAATAATAATAATAATAATAATAATAATAATAATAAATCACACACAAAGTTGTGAACATTTAAATTTCCTTTCTGAACTATTTCTGTTGAGTTTTAATGTTTAAAACCTGTTAGATTGTTACTGACAGCAGCTACATTTAAGTTTCACTTCCTGTTCTGACTGAATGCTGCTGCAGCATGGAGGTGTAGTTCTCAGTCATCCTGGACGTGATCATCCTGAGAGTTTTAGCTGAAAACAGCTGGACGTTTCTGGATATGTTGGAGACATTTAGCCTCTCATCCCAGAGGCTTCTTCCAGACTTTGGTTGTGGTCAGAAACAAACACACTGGTTGTGCTGCAAGTCTTTTTCTTTTTTCTCCAAAACATGTTTTTGTCTAAATGATGGTGATGTTGCTGTTCATAGAGTTAAAATTCATGTTGAAGTTAAGATTATTTCATCAAGTAGGACCTGTGGTTAGCTGGCTCATGTAAAGCATGTCATGTTTTGGAAGAATCGGAATCGGAAATCGATAAGAACCGGAGTCGAAACAAGGAATCGGAATCGTTCAAAATCAAACGATGCCCAACCGTAATAAGGAGTATGTAGTACACTTTCATCACCATGCTTTCTGATTGGCTGCACAACATTCAAAGGGCAGCATGTTTGTTTGTCCCCAAAACCAGACCATGGCAATCCAACATGTTAGAAAGCCCAGCTTTATGTATACAGCTGTCCTGACGTCCTTCCAGGTGGACTAGAGTCCTTGTAACACACCACAAAAGACGAGACTATCTGATGAAGGTTATCTTTCAATTACGGTAAATGTGTGCTTCCTTAATATTGTCAGAAGGGGCATTAGCAATTCAAAATAAGCATGATTATTCTGCTGTGTGAACCTGGCTTTAGCCTAAATTGTTCCGTCGTTATTATTATTATTTTTATTATTATGAAATGTAAGCTACTATTTGAGTCGTGTATAGTCTGAATCGAGACTCTTGGGATTTTTGCATATTGTCAGAGTAGATTTTCTTGGATGTTCACTTCTGAGAAGATTGTCAGCTGTCTTTAAAACAATTGTGAAAATAGTGAATAATCTTTGTCTCTACAGAATTATGCACTTCAAATAGATAGAAAATGACCTTTAACAATTTTTTTCAGTTTGAAAGCAGTAAAAGCTGTTTCTAATGTCTCTGTGGATGTCTACTCAGCTCCATACAACCAAATAATGCTTTTATGGGAGAGCAGCACAGATGACGATTGGCTAAAGAATCATTTGATTAGCAGCTCCTGACTGAGACATTCTTTGGAATAGCTAAAAAAAGATTTAAGTGATTATTTTATGTAGTGATTTGAATAAAACCAAAGAACAAGCGTGTTCCATTAACTGCTGCAGACATGGTAGATAATTACTTCTTTAAAAAAAGTTAGTAAAATGGAAGAAAAGGAATATATTTTTGTTCTGAACACTCTTCTCCTTTGTTTAAAACAACTGTGTGAATTACTCAGAGTTCAGATTTGAATTCATCATGCTGGAAGGAGCTGTAATTGCCTCAAGCCCTGTTAAACAGAGCCCAAATAGATACTGGCCTAAACTTGCTTGTGTCTGGAGAGAACAAACATGACTGGAGTCTGGATGCAATGAGAACACTCAATCAATCGTTTATTGGTACAGGTGCAGCTTAAATGGGAGAGCACATGGCATGGTCACATGACAAACACACCTGTGAGGAATGAACAATAATTGGGAGCACCATCATCAGTCACTGAGGCCTAGTCCACACGTAGCCGGGTTTTTTAAAAGACGAATATCCGCCCCTCCAAAAACTTGCATCCACACCACCTCGTTTTAAAAATAAAAACTCTGTCCACATGTACCCGGATAAATACGTTGTTAAGGACATGCCAGACCTGTAGGCGTCAGTACTTCCCCCGTTCTTAACCTCGTTCTTCGTCTGTGGTCTTCCGCAAGGAGCAGTAATTCCGCTTGCAAAAACAAACAAGCAGAAAGTGCTTGGACAATTGATAAAGCGAGCGGAGCTCTGAGGGCATCCATTCTGTCGGCTAGTGTAAACACAGGTCGCACACGTGATGTCAGCATTTTTTGTCGCGGAAAGTGACGTTGTGGACCTTGAAACTCCGGTTTTGTCTGTCCACACGCAGACACCCAAAACGGAGAAAACGCAGATCTTCACTTTGGCCGGAGTTTTTAAAAAGATCCGTTTTCGTGTGAAAAAACTCCGTTTTCGTGTGGATGACAGGCCAAAAACGTAGAAAAATATCTACGTTTTGGCAGATCTCCAGCTACGTGTGGACAGGGCCTGAATCTGTTAACACCCCCACTTGCTCACACATTATTCACAATCAACAAAGCAAAAACAAACACAGGAACATCATGGAAACCAACTACATTGCATCTTTGCTTGGCTGCTCCCCAAACAGAAACATGGAAAAGGTAAGTAGTTTCCCTCTTGTAGCTGGTTTAGTCATAAGGTCAGCTACCATCTGATCTGTTGGACAATACTCCAAAAACACTTCACCATTGTTAACAGTTGATCTCACAAACTGGTATTTTATATCAATATGCTTGCACCTCTGTCTTTGAACAGGATTCTTTGCCAGCATAATTGTGCCCTGTTATCTTCAAAGATAACAGGCAAATCACACTGATAATCATTTAGATGTTCAAGCAGTTGAGGCAAATACAAACACTCTTGTATGGTGTAAGCCAATGCAATGTACTCAGCCTCACATGTTGACGGTGCAACAGTTGGCTGCTTTTTGGTCTTCCAAGAAATCAGAGGACCATTCCTACATAGGCTAACACAATAACCAGATATACTCCATCTGTCATTTGTATCACCGGCCCAGTCTGCATCACTGTAAGCTAACAAGCTTAACCCTTCACCACATTTCCTGGAACAGAGGATCTTGTCTTTTGTGCCTTTCAGATATTTCAGTACATGCTTTACAATTGCCCATTGCTTTTCAGTTGGCTCACTAAAATACTGTGACAACTTGCTGACAATATAACTCATATCAGGTCTAGTGCATGTGGTCAGGTACTTCCCACTGCCTCTCTGAATTTCCTGGGATCATTCAGTTTTTCATCACCATCAGTGTAATTTAATTTAAGTTCAGAAGGTGTCGACCTGGGTTTACAATCCTGCATGTCAAACCTTTGAAGCAGTTTGCCAACATAACTGTGCTGTGACATAGTCACACTTCACACTGGTAAAAAGAGATACCTAGAAAAGTTTTCAGTCTTCCCAAATCTTGCATGTGGAACTCCTCAGCAAGCATTTCTTTGACAGCTTTTAAGGCTCTCTCATCACGAGCAGCAATAATCAAGTCATCCACCCATATCAATATTACTACTTTTTCATGTTCTGTTTCTCTCTTGTAAACACATTGGTCTGCTGAATTCTATACAAAGGTGTGTTCACACAGATAGTCGTGTAACATTTTATTCCAGTTTCGACCTGATTGCTTTAGTCCATACAATGATTTTTGCACACAAGTTTTTCATTTGTCTGAGACTTTACATCATATCCTTCTCGCTGCTCCATGTAAATCTCACAATCAATCGGTGCATGTAGGAAAGCTGTTTTAACGTCCATCTGATGGAGAAGCAGATCCTCCTGAGCAGCTTTCTGCATTAACACTCTAACACTGGTAAAGTTAGCAGTAGGAGAAAAGGTTTCTCCATAATCTATACCCTTCTCCTGATTATACCCCTTGGCAACATAACGGTCTTTGTACTTGTCAGATCCATCAGCATTGTTTTTGATAGAATACATCCATCTACCCCCCACTGCTTTCTTTCCCTCAGGTAGGGTGGTCAGAGTAAATGTGTGGTTATCCCTCAATGATTTAATCTCCTCATCCATTGCATCTACCCACTCTCTTGAGTTGGATGAAGCTACAGCTTCTCTGAAAGTTTGAGGTATATTGGAAACCATCTGAGCCTGATCCCTCTCCACCCCATAGAAGTCTGGCCTCCGTCTCTCTCTTCTAGGGTATCTCTGTGGGGAAACTGATTCTGGCTTGACCTCAGCCGGCTGCAGGCTTATCTGATCTAGGTCTTGCCTAGTCTCTGGGATTCAAACTGCTTATGTTCATCAGGGTCAGGTCTGGTTGTACTATACTCTACACAAACTTCATCATCATCAGACACGTCAACAGTCTCCTGTCCATCATTTGAGATGAACCTCACCAGTCTGTGTTTCATCACCTTTCTACTGTCGGGATAATAGACCATATAGGCTGGACTGCTTTTGCCATAGCCAACAAAAATACCTTTGTCAGACCTCGGGTCTAGCTTTTTCCTGTCCTGCCTACAGGCATAGCATACAGTACCAAACTTCTGCAGCCTGGACAAATTTGGTCTCCTTCCTGTCAGCATAAAGTAAAGTGTGTCTGGTACGGTTATTGAAACCTCTATTTCTCACCAGTGCTGCTGTCTGGACTGCATATGGCCATAGCTCCTTTGCTAACTGGCTTTCCAAGAGCATACATCTAGCCATGTCAAAAAGAGTTCTCCAGTACCGCTCAGCAGTACCGTTCTGGTGTGGTGAGTATGGTGCTGATGTCTCATGTCTGATTCTGTTCTTACAAAGTAGTGCTTGATAACCCTGCCCAGTAAACTCAGTATGGGGGGCTGTGTCAGCTAAGAACCGCTCTGTGGCTTCCACTGTGCCACTTTTGTTTTTCAGAAAGTACACAAACACTGCACTTGAGTAGTCATCAATAAAGGAAAGAGCATGCCTATAGCCTTCTCTGGACTTAGGCTCAATGGGGCCTGCCAAATCTGTATGTACCAACTCTAAAGATGACTTGGCCCTCACATCAGGTTTCCTGTTCCTGCTCTGAGTGAACTTGCCTTGAACACACACTTCACATTGCATAGGCTTGGATACTTTGCCCTTTATTGACATACCGACTACAACGCTCTAACTTCTGAACATCGTCAAAA